GGGAATATCCACGTTTTCTACCCATCTCTCATGTTTGGATCTATCCGGGGACTACCAGCATGATTCATCATGGTTTGAGTGGATCTGGGGTAAAATCTGCCCTACAGACCCAAGGGAAATATTCAGAGCCTGTTTTATGGGTGCTTACACTCACTGTCCATCTTTACATCTATTAAGAGTGCCCGAGGCAGTACAAAAGCTTGAGGTGCTCTAAGCCCGGCCCGAATAGTCCTGCGTGGCCCTGAAGTCAAAGAAGGCACAACAATGCTACAAACTACTAAAACTGGAGAAAGAGGGACGCTCAATAGGCTGGTGTGTACAGCCACTCTGACTGAGGCAGCATCCAATCTAGACCATCCTCAGCAGCTATTTGTCTAGTTTACAGTTAAAAACTTCTAGCATTGGAGTTGCTCAGATTCCTCTGACTGTCTCCTCCAGCGCCTAACTGCCTACAAACCGTTCACAAGGAGAGGAGGGTCTAGGTGGCTTTGATGAGTTAGTAGAAGAGACGGCTAAAGGGAGATCTAGCTGCAGTCTTTTAACTATTTTAGGTATGTGGGATATACAGAAGATGGAGTCGGATTGTTCTTGGAGATGCTCAGTGAGTGGATGACAGGCAATGGACATGAGTTGTGGCAGTGGACATTCTGCCTACTCTTAGGAGGAGAGTTGTTCAAAACAAGAGTGGTCGGCACCTGAACCAGGACATAGAGGTTGTGGCCTCTCCATCCTGTGAGATACTCAGAGTGTAACTGAACATAGCCCTGAGCAACCTGATCTGACCTCAACATTAGCCCCGCTTTAAGCAGGAGACTGGACCAGAGACCTTCAGTGATGCCTCCCGACATAAATTATTCTGTGGTACTGTATTTTTATGATGACATCTTTATGATTAAAGTATTTTGCTTTCAGTATGTGACTGAATTGCTGCAAAATAAGTCAATTTCTGGAAGACTATTACCTTGTTCTCCTTCATTGTGCTTTTCTCTATATTAAACAATTGCTGGCTCAGTACAAAACCTGCTCAGGGTTCCCTAAGGTAATGCCAGTTAACTCCAGGCTCAGATCCAAATGACTACTTCAGGAACTTCTTTTTCTTGAGTCAGTCTTGCTGAGAAACAGTGAGAACTAGTGTAGGAAAGAGGTTCTTCTAATTTCATTGCTAGATTTCCAGGAACCAAAACTCCTCCCTGTGCACGGGTCTGAACTGCTCATGGGCGTTCACAATTTCAGTTTAGATGGACATGCTGCAGAATAACCCTTGAGCTATATGAAGTGCCTGCTGCATGAGCAGCACAGAGTGATTGCATTATCCCCAGACAAGGTGCAGTAACTTCAGCTGTCACCTCTGTCCCCTTACTCTGCAAAGTGACAGTCCAGGTGGAGTGAAAAGCACTGCCCAGTGGAGGGGAAGCCACTGGGACAGTTTGGGTGTGCAGGATCTGAAGCTCAGGGCAATGCCAGGGTTATAACTCAAGCTAATTCTTCAGTTGAAAAAAAACTAGTTAAAGTATTCAGCCTCCTAGAAAGCCTGGGAACGGTTCAGATAAAGCAATGTATGGCTTTCCATGCCAGCTGCCTGTGCAAGTGATTTATGGACTGTGATATGCTATGGAACCAGACCACTTCATTGGTTTCCTTAAAGACAGGAGGGTGGATTGTGGCTGCACCTACTGAGCAGCGTCTCTATTCCTTCCAGGCATCACCACTCCTCAAATAAAAGCAAACCTGCTTTTCTGAGGGAGCCAGACCTCTCATTTTCGATGAACACAATAACCGTCTTGGTAGAAACATGCTTTGACAGCTTTGGATTTACAAACATCAGAAGTAAATTCTGATTATTTATTTTGGATAAATAATGAACAGCATAAAAATCGCTGACGTTAACCTTCATTGGAAAAGTTGGTTTAATGGGCCCCATAAAATCTTCTATTGATGGCAGGTTCATAAAGCTCCATATTGACTTCAGCTAAAGGCTATAACTTCTATCAATACTGTCAACAATTAATATTGACTACTAAAGGTATCCTGTAAACTGAGTCATAGCATTATGTTACTTTATGCTGCCATTAGCAAAATTTCAGGTCTTCTTGAAAACATTTCTCCCATAAATCTGGGATTTCTCAAAATAGCCCGTGTGGTAGCTAGCAGCAGAGGGCCCAGCGTAACACTTATGTGCAGAGGGAGGAAACACAGAGTAACCTTTGGTTTTGCTAGACAAAGCTTCTGAGAAGATCTCAGGCTTCATTTGCTCCAACAGAAGGTTTCAGGCTGAGAGGGGTTTGTGTGCAAAAGTGTTTCACACCTTTATCTGTGCTAAGCAATTACAAAATGAAAATGCCCAAGTTTGGGGTACATTTAAGACTCTTCCTCAGTCCTTCTTTTCCTCCCTTGCAGCTTTTGTTTGGATATGTTTATACCGCCTATGTTGAAATGATATGTCTTTCTCTCAGCTCTGGACCACTTTTTGTGACCTGAACCTACCTGCTGTCTCTTCCCAGGGAACTCTAAGCATCAGCTGCAGCTCCCCAACACCACAGTTTGGAGCGTAATATTTTCTCTCAAGTTCCACCACCTCTTTTTTTTTTTTGTCCATATTAATACTACAATCACATACTGGACACCACCACTCTAGATTTCATTTATGCTACACAGACTTTGTGCATATTATGATAGAGCCTTTCTCATTCAAAACACTCAACATCTAGGACTGTGAATGCCTAGGGCCCAAAGAAACTCCTACATCTGTAAAGAACTTAAAAACCTGCAGGTATGTACTCCACTTTTCTGTCTTCCCCTTTTAATTGCTATGAAATGACGCTTAAACAAATGGTTAGTGTGTCATTAAATTTAAGGGAATAGGAATTGGAGGTTGTCTCAGTCCTGATATAAGCCAAAATGTCTTGCTAACATTTATATTTTTTTTCTATCTCTGTCTTGCTTTTTGTCTTTCTAAAACTCCAAAACCAGACTTAGAGAGCTCCTCTGCCGGCTTTTACGGTAATGCTGACATGAGTACTACTGCCTCATTACTTTCAGTAAAGCCTTTCAAGGCAGGATGATCAGAGAGCTGGAGCACCTCCCCTGTGAGGACAGGCTGGGAGAGTTGGGGGGTTCAGCTGGAGAAGAGAAGGCTCCAGGGAGACCTTAGAGCGGCCCCCCAGGGCTGAAAGGGGCTGCGGGAATGGGGGGAGGGACTCGTCATCAGGGGGTGTAGGGATAGGATGAGGGGTAAAAGTTTTAAACTGTCAGAGGGGAGATTTAGATTAGATATGAAGAAGAAATTATTCCCTGCGAGGGGGGTGAGGCCCTGGCACAGGTTGCCCAGAGAAGCTGTGGCTGCCCCCTCCCTGGAAGGGTTCAAGGCCAGGTTGGATGGGGCTTTGGGCAACCTGGGCTAGTGGAAGGTGGCCCTGCCTGGGGCAGGGGGTTGGAACTGGATGGTCTTTAAGGTCCCTTCCAACCCAAACCAGTCTGTCATTCTATGACGTGCTGTTGCTAATGTGTTGTGCTAATATAATTGCATTTGTAAGTGATCTGTAGGTACAAAGTTGCATTTGCACATGCAGAGATAGCATTATGGAAACCAGTGAAAAAAACCTCCAGCACTTAACGTAATTCTTCTTTTTTAAGACACAGAAACAAACAAACAAAAAAGGCAAATTCTGTACTTTGTTTTTCTTAGTAGGCGTGGAAAGAAAAATGTATGGGATAGGATCATAGCTGCTGATACACTACCATGGAAAGTACCAGAGAGAGCTCTGGGTACAGAAGAATGGGATGGAAGTGCAAGGTGTTTGGTTTTGGTTGTTTTCTAGTGATTTCTCGGGAGGGTATACAACTGTAATGGACACTGATGATCTCTCTAGGCTTTCATCAAAACACAAGGCTTAGAAAGAAAACCATATCATCTGGCGTGTCTGCCTGTCCCTAACGGGTGCGACCGTCTAAGATATTACACTAAGAAACTTAAAAAAATATTTTAAAGGTAATTTTAAAAGATTCTTCCGTACATCCTTTAAACAGAAGGCCGTTTATCTTTGAACTTTGCCTAATATATCATTATCTTTGAGCAGAAACTTAATAAGCTTCTGCTGTAATTTTGTTGGGAGTTAAACATAAAATCATGTGGGTGGTGTATGTCTCACCATGTCATGGCTTCCCAAGGAAAAGTTATCATCATTTGTCACTATAATACTGTGGCAAAAAGCATAAAGAGAACAAGCAATACAGTCATTTCACATCAGCTTTCTGCGCTGAGCTCAAGCTCCCGATGACTTGTGCGTAGTAGCTATATTAAGAAGCAGGCTGTGCCATAATTGAATTAAAGGTGCAAAGGCATATAGGGCTGTGTGAACTCCTGGGTCAAGCTGCAATTGAATCAAAATCCTCTCTCCTTCCTACACTGCTTGGCAGAACTGCTGACCAAAAGGTTCGCAGACTTACAAAACACATGCAGGAGTCCCCACAGCTGGGAACACAAAGTTACAGAGATAAAAAAATCTGTGACCTTCAGCTTTTATTTCGCATGAAGAAAAAGGCTTCTAAAAATATTTCACCATCGTTTTCCTTCAGAGAGCAGTCAGCTGATTTACATAAATGAAACGGCTCCTGTCAAGGAACCAGCGAGGAAAAGAAGGAAATTATCTGCCCCGAAAATCTGTAGCAAAGATAAGAGCGGCATTGGCCAGGGGAGGGGAGATTTAAATGCTTTTTCTCTGAAAGGTCGCTACAAAAAGCAGAGAGAGTATTACAGCCACTTAATGATCTCTGTCGCTGTGATAAATAAGTAGGACCTTCTCCAGCAGTTTATTAACAAACACTCTGTAGGACAGTACAAAAGGCCACGACATGGGGCTATTAGAAGAGTGTTTTCACTGAGTCTGATAAAAAAAAAACCCAAAACCAACAAACCAACACAAAACCTAAGGAAGATTAAGGTGGAGTGGTAAAAAGAGGTATAGCTCAAGGCTGACATCGCACGTGCTGTCATCACTTACCGGTTTCGGTATTCTCATGCTCTGTGTCGGTGAGGGTGAGGTTAGAGTTGGCCCGGCTTGACAAGCAGGAGCTGCGTCCCGACTTGGTGTTGCGTCCCCAGAGCCTCACGGGATGCTCGGGAGACATGACCACGTCTGCCTCTGTGTCAGCATCCGAGCCGGCGCTGATGGAGTAGCCGCAGTGAGGCAGCCCGATATCAGTCCGGTACAAAGTCCCGTGGGTGGGGGTCACGTCTTCAAGACCCAGCTCTCGCAAAGAGAAGTTGGCTCCTGGGACAAAACACAGCAACTCTTAGTGGTTACTCTTTAATAGGGGATGGTTTCATCTAGAAAAAGTCAATGGAAGAACCGTTCATCCTCTTTTTTCAAGTGGGATACAGCAGCTAACGAGTCCTAACATCACACCAAAGATTCCCCCTGTTTTGTGGCCTTGCTTAGTGTCAGATGAAATGACAACATCAAGACCAAAAAGCAGCTGGATTCCCGCTTCTGGAACCTGACAAAATCTCCGGGTGTGTTCAATGAAATCATCAAATTAGAAAGCAACAATGGATGGAGAAATGGTGAAAGTCTTGGAGAGGCAAAAAGAGAGGCAAATCTTCTTGGGAGAAAAGCAAAATGAGGCATGCAACGATCAAAAGTCGTACCATACACCCAGCTACTCTACTTCAATAGGAAATTTGAGTGAGTTCTGCTCACTGAAATCCCTGAAATTACATACTGGGGGGTTACATTTCCTTTGTTGATCTCGCTTTACCCTTGCTGGCCACTCACACCTTGACTCAGTTTAGCTATTCGTTCTGATACAGTCACAGCAGAGGTTATTTGGCTGCAAACAGATGCAGTTGTTTAGCTGACGAAAAACGCAACCTGAAAAATGACTCTTGAGTTCATGCCTAGTTACCCGCAGAGCTTCAAAATCAGACTGAATCAATGTGAATGAGGCTTCAAATATTAACACACTTTGTTTGGGAAGTTGTGCTAGGAGGCTGGGGAGGGCAATTAGCGGCTCCATTTAAATCCACATTCATTTATTAATGCATGCTTTTATTTTTCAACCCTGAATGTCTTTAAAAGATTTTGGCCACCCGCGAATGCCGTTAGCTGCGCTGTGTGTTTATACGGCACAACACACCCTCACTCCTGCTACACTATGCCTTGATCGGATGGATTAAGGAACTTTATCTATAACTGTAGGAGGCATCAGACCCTGGATCATGGCTAAATACCAACGCCGGTGATCAGAGTCAGTCTAGCTGGCTTCTTCCCATTATTTCAGTACATAAATCCCCTGCAATAAAGAGAGGTAGAACCTGCCAAATCTATGCACAGTCCACAGACTTAGTTTTAGAGTGGTGTCGGCAGCTCAGACGTGTTTCAAGAAGATAAATCTGAATGCATGATCACCAGGAAAGTTCAGGCCCAAACCTACCTTCGAACAGTGAGGTTCACATCTACCCACTATTGAAACCTGTTCATCACATCTGGACCTCAAAGCTGTATCCAAAACCGAGTGTCTGATTCTCTGCTCAAAACCACACAAGCACATGGCTCTCCTCACATTTCCATTTATTGATGTTAAATATCGCATTGTGGAAAATGTGTATGAGGTAGAAAAAAAAAATCAGTTTTCTGCTTTTCCAGAGTCTGATTTCACACATGTGGAAACACCCTGGCTTGCCCCCGAGCCCTGCTGTATGGGGAAGGTCTTGGATCATAGCGCACAGGCACTGAATGATCAGCTGGCCCCAAGGAGATGCTATTTTACTACACTTGTCGGTTGACTTTGCAGCTCATAGTGAACAGTGAGAAGATGTTTGAATGCAAGATGAATAATGGGACTGGACAACACTTCCATGTAAAGTTTGGAGAAGGAGCTTTTTGACGTCAGGAGGAAATAATTATGGTTCAGCTTGTTACAGTTCGACAGCTGATAGCACTCAAACTATATAAAGCATTCAGGAACCTCACACCTTTTTAATTGACCGGACAAGAGTAAAGCTTTCAGGCAGAGTGGACAGATAAGGTTAGATGGGGTTCACACCTCCGTCAAACCCTTGGGCCTTGCTTAGGAAGCACAATGCAAGCTTGTGGCAAATTAATCCATTTAACCTGACTGCAAAGCAGTCTGAGAGAGCATCCTCCACCACTCCTCGGCATGAGGCAGCAAATGAACTTGACCTAAGTTACAAACACAAAGAAGCGGTATTTTCCCAGAGACCTTGCTCTTCTCCTCCAGTTTTGACTTTCATGCAAAGTCAGGATAGTTTTTAAACCCTCCTCCGTGGAGTACTGGAAAACGTCATCTTTTGGTTTTCCTTGTGCTTTTGAGTCACTGATGGTGAGTGGCACGTTCCCCTAAAACAAGTCACACTCAGCATCATCAGACACATCAATGTGCAGCATGACTGATGCTCTCCAGTAACAGCAGCTCATAAATTATGAAAAATGACTGCTACAATTAACTGAAAATCAAATTTATTTGCAATAAACAGCAGGAGATGCATCGATTTTCATATTCTATGCTCACTGTTGCCTTTTAAGCTGGAAGAACTCAAGTCAATAAAAGGAAGATAATAAATATCTCAGACTTTTTAATTCAGATCTGGTCTATTTTTTCCTGTGCTGACTTGCATGTTTGCTGGCACTCTCACTCTAGTTAAAACCATTTAAATGCTGACTTGTTTATTTACTGAATTTATTTGGTCAATTTGAAATGTTTCCCTCCTCTGCCTTCCAAACTGATGCAGGAGAGAAATTCACTTTGCCTTGTTGATGTCATGCAGGCTAATAAGGCTTGGTTTCGGCTGGCATCAGGCCAAGCAGCACCACAAAGTGAGGTCCATTCATGGCTTTCTGCCAGTGAAAAATGTGGCACAGAAGTCTGGGGCTATTGTTAACACTCTTCAGGCCAGTTTCGGGACTCTCAGGATAAACTGGGAGAGAATTATAAATTGAAAAATCTCTAGGTGATGTATCGGAAGTAGAACTGGGTGTACTGACATGGTTAATTGTAACTTCTCAATTAATTTCAGCCATTTAGACCAGTGTTTGTTTTTTTTTTTACTATTTGTCAGTACTCTACAAAATTTTCCTAGGGAAGTATGAACTTGTGTACAGCAAATTTATATTCCCTGCCAATAGACTCGCTCTTCTTATTTATCTTTTGTGGGCTTCTTAGGAGAAGTCCGTGGACCTTCATGGCCTTACAGACCCTCAGGCTGAAAACCACTGACCTGTACTAATTCACATCTATCCTGCATGGTGAATATATTGTATGAAGTGAGCAAACTCAATGACCTAAAAGGTTTCCTTTTCTTTATAATTTCGTAGATTCCTTAGAGAGGATGAAGTACTTCAGAGTTGCTAAGAGGGAAACTCCTTTTATGATTGCAAAGTATTGCTTACAACACCCATTGGCCCTTTTGTTAATTATTGGCTGCTGCAGTTATCCTCAAATACAAACACCAAAGCCATGTGCACAAAGATACTGCTGCAAGTCATTTTCCTTGTGCATGCCTTAAAGATGAGTCTTGCACCAAAACCACAAGCGTTTGGTTTTTGAAGAGTGAAATTAAGCAGCCCCCAAGCTAAACAAGTGCAATTATATGCATTCCCTTTGGGGAATCAGCTTCTACAAACTGCAGAGGGTGCGCTCAGAGCAGCCTGGGTCAGCTATTTTCTGTTCATTGTCTGGAATGCTGCCTACTCTATTTGACTCACTTTGCCATTTTATGCTTTTCTTGATGGACTTCTAAAAATAATTTATGTGAAACCCTGCTTGGTTTCTGAACCACTCTTGTCTCTATGGAAAAATGAAGATGAGACTATAGCAGGGGCCAGAAATCTACCTCATGTAGGAAACAGCAATAGTGAAAATGTAACTGCGCTGACTTCAGGCTAGCTATATGAAGGAGGATGTCTGGAATCTCTGTTAGAACTGTGGAGCCCATGCTGACCCTTGAACCTCTACATCTTCACAGCTACACACTCACTAAATGGACTCCTGTAAGTCTTAAAAGTGGTTCTTTACCACTCCTGTAATATCGGAGCATGTCTCCATCTCAAATCTACAGCCTGCAGGCCACATACAATGCCAAGGGCAGCTCATCCCATCTGCAGCTCAGTTGCCTGCCTTCTTCCAGGCTTCTTGGGTTTTGCTGTCGCCCAGATGGACACTGTTGACAGTGTCACTCTCCCCTCATTGTCTTCTGCTTCAGCATCCTTGTTGACTTTGTCCGTGACAGAGCAGGTACCAGTGAAAGGTGCTCTTGAGCAGACAGGGACTTCCCACACCATGTCAGTACTGTGAAGTGTCAGTACTGCACAGGGGCTCTGGTCTCATGGTGGGAAGCGGCAAAGGGCTGCTGGAGGCAGAAAGGCTAAGACACAGAAAATGTGCCTTAGCAGACAGTAATAAACACAGGCTCGTCATATCCCACTTAGGGACCTCGGTTTGCACGCATCCCGCATCTGTGCAATACAACTGAAGATGTTCCTTGATGCTCTCCCCCCTTGTGTCTTCCGTTTGGACTCGAGTCCTTCAAAGGCATCCTCCCACCCAGTCCCAGCTCTCAGCTGATTAACTCCCACTGCGTGCGGCAGCATCTGCTGAAAGGTACTCACCTGCTCGGCAGAATTCATCGGCCTCCTGGTGCACCATGTCTTTGACCCGATTGCTGTAGGTCAGTCTGGAGTCTTGATCATAAGCCTTCAGCGTCTCGCTGGAGCTGTAGGACTTCTGGGGTGCCTTGCTGTCCTCACTCTCGGCGGAAGAGCTGGTGTAGCGGCGCTCAGTGTCGCGGCGCCGAGTCAGAGATCGATACGGTTTCCTTTCTTTTACATCCATGGCACCCTTGTCTGAGTATTCAACATTAAAATAATGACGTTCGTCTGGTGGTCAGATTGGAATAACCTGAAAGAGAGAATAAAAGAAATAGGATCTAGGTTCATGCCTTTGGGCACCTGAAGGCTAATTTGCCTTCTTTGTACATTCTTGCACTGAACAAAAGAGAGGTTATTTAATGGACTGCAGGAAAACCCTCTTAGAACAATTACCAATGGAAAGAAAGTGTCAATTATGTGTGACTCATTTAATAATTGCCACAGCTAGCGGGATGCATACACGCAGCAACCTGCATCTGCCTGAACCGGGCACGCACTTGGGGATTTGAAACTCATTGTGATTTTCTGTGTCTTCTTTCCAGGGGAAGTGATTCAGACACCTCCAGGAGGCACGTATTCAGTACATCCTTCACTTAATCTCTGGGAAATCAGGCCATGCTGAAAAGTCTCTATTTGGGTAGCCAGAGGACTTTGGAAAAATGCTGTCCTATAGTTTTAAAAGTGTTCTGATAGATCGTGAGGTTAGAAGGAATGAACAAAAGAATGAGACAGTGTAAGAATGCAAGTGGGAAGGGAGGGGGAGAAAAGAAGAATGAAGGGGTGAGATATGGATGGAAATCAGATGAAAGTGTCTTCCTATTCAAAGAAATATATTAGAACTCAAGCAGAATTGAGAAAGTGTAAATAAATGGTAGTGCTCTGCTTCGTGTAACCAGCATGGGCTGGGATTTATGGCTGTGAGAAAACCAATGTATATTGCATGAGTATGCAAGCATACATATCTGCACACAGAGGAAATTGATACCAGAAATAAAACATGTAATAGAAGTATTTTGTCAAAATAATTCATAAATTGTCTTTTCACTTTAAGTTTATTAAATGCAACATAAGCCACAGGGAAAAAAAAAAAAAAAAAAATGACTTGTAGCAAGACGTTAAAATATGTTTTTGAATACCTAAACTGGTTTCTGAGGAAAAATACTGATAAAACCCACAAACCAAACATTGAAATCTGTAATTATAGGCTGAGTTTCTCAGGAACTGAGTCCTCCTGACCGCTAAAGAACAGAAGCTTAGTAAATGCCACACCAGGATGTCGTTGTTTACTAGCAGTACTTAAAAACAGAAAGGGAGAGGATCAAAGAACACTTATCAGTTCTCAGTCTTTTTCATAGCAAATACAGAATCACAGAATTGCCTAGGTTGGAAAAGACCTTGAAGATCATCCAGTCCAAACATTAACCTCACACTGACAGTTCCCAACTACACCATATATACCATATCAATATCAAACACGTATAGAAATGCACTGGCAGGGACTGAATCACATTCTACTGGTATTTCTCTCTTGAAAGGTTAAATCTGGAACATCCTAATAAATCTTATTCCTCCCTAAGTCTTAGACCCCATCCTTACTTCAGATGCTGTGCCCTGGATCTGTGTTGCAGCACAACACAGCTCTGGTGCAATAGCTGAGGACGGATGCCCTGTGAGATCGGTTTAAAGGGACGTGGTGTAATGTAGCCTTTGTGGCTCTCAAAGCGATGAGCCTGAGCAGGATGGAAGACTCAGCACAGGTTCTGATAACCTACAAATCATAATAGTAATGAAGAAGCTTAAAGAAAACATTTTATTATGAATTCTTCACTTGTCAATCGTTCTGTCACAAGCGTAATTAAGGAAATTCTCGAGTTGAAGAGAGAGCGCAGGAGGGAGCAAGAGCTGTAGGATGGCTGTGAGATACCCCTGCAGCTGGGCAAAGAAAAAGAGGGTCCCACTCCTATTTCTGCAATCCTGTCTTTGCTAAGACTGCTCACTGGGTTTTGTCCCTTTAACCTCCAAAATGAGCTGTGCAATGACAGAACCCAATTCTGATGGCTTGTACGATTTCTGTGGCACTCTTCCCGGAAATTAAGACACTACTTTAAAAAGAAAAAAAATCCACTTAATTCTCTCTCAATCTATTCCAGTGATGGCAGCAGACCAAGTTCACACTTTCTATTTGTCAGCAAAACACACAGAAACTATCGAACACAAATGGGAGGATGAGGGGGAAGGAGAGAGCGTCTTATAATTGGGCTTTGCTTAAGTCATCCACGGAGATTCGAGCACCGCTTTGATTTTAAACATGTGTTTAAATCCACCAAACTCACTGACTTCAATTCATTCACGAACTGCGTAAATTCAATATAGTGAATGCAAATGGGATTACACACCAGCCAAAATTTACACACGTTAAATATTTTGCAGGGTAAGGGCCTGAGAGGTGCAAAAGCTAAGGCCTGAATATAGAAGCAATAGTGAAGGAAACGGTGTTAAGCCAAGGGCCAGTTTAACATAGTAATAGCATGTAAGAGATCTACAGCATATTGGTAGATATTTTGCTGTATTGAATCAAATAAATTGGCACTTTCACACTCGAGAGAGGTAAAAGGAACAGAGCATCTGATTGCTTTTCAGTGTACTGTCTTCCTCCCTTAAAAAAACCAAAGATTTTCTTGGCTTGAAAAATTGTGACTGTTTTTTATTTTTTTTTTCCCCCAATTGTTATTGAATTGTTTTTTCTCCTTTATACCATCTCCACGTGAAATCCTCGAAAGGTGCAGGTTTGTTACGCCTTTTTGAAAAAAAGCACCTTAAACCAGGCTCTTTCACAACGGTGCTGTAGTAAGACCTTTTAATAACGAACACTTAAACTGTGGTTTATTTTCATGGGGGACAGAGATAGAAAAATGTGAGCAAGAAGCCGTTACTATACTCTAAGGAATGAAATAAGGAAAGGTGGCTTCTCTCTGCTTATGAGTATTGCAGCAATTCCTACCAAGGGCCAGTCATTAAAAAAAAAACCCAAAAAACAAACCTCTGGAGGGAGAGACACACGTGCCAAGAAAACCTTTCTGCACAGTTAGAGCCACAAGGTACAAACAGGGTCTGTAATTACCATTAGTAACCTTGCAACTTTGGAAATGGTCAAAAAAAAAAACCAAAAACCCATCAGGAAATTGACTGAATTCCCACCAGATGAAGGTTTTTCTTTTCTTTAAAGAAAGGTGCTGAAAAACTGAAATTCCTCCTACAGTTCATCAAATATAGCCCTGTAAATTTGCACCATTCACATACACATTCCTCCAGAACACTGCTTCAATTCCCAGTTCATTCATGTCTATAAATTTAACTCTCCTCAGCCCTTTCTTTCTCTCTCTCTCTCGCTGCTTGTAAGGAGACACTCTTTAACTAGAAAGGTCACCCCCAAAACACATAATGAAGATTTTTTTAATTTTTATTTTTACTTTTTTGAAAGAAGGAACTGTTGCATTTAACCGACTTAAGTAAGTTTCCAGCACCTCTCCATGGACATGCAGTTCTTGTCATCTCATTTTTATGGCCCAATAACCAGATGGCTTAGATACCTTCCCTTCGATGGAGTTGTGTTGTCAGGGAATTTGCCTCGCGGTGTTTCTGTGATAGATTATTATTTTTTATCTGCTACTCCTTGTGTCTTGATTTCACTTCTACAATTTCACCCGTGCCATCAACACCTCACCTTTTTCCTGACTTCTCTGGCACATGGTGAATACAAAGAATTACACTCGTCTCAGTTACATACTCAACGACCAGTTTCTTTCCACCTTTAGCTCATGATTGCTCCTCATAATTTTAAAAGCTTCCATAAGCTTGCTGAACCTGATATAAAAATACCAAGGCTTCTCATATTGTCCTTTCCATCCCTTCACTCCTCCTCCCTCCATAAAAGCCTTCTGCTCTGAACCATCTCTGTTTGGAAAGGACTTTCCTGTCCTATAATGTGGTGTTTCTCGCTCAGTTTGATTCTTTCATCTCACTGTTGTCTGCATAACATATCAAATTTCACTTTTTTTTTTTTTTTTTTTTTTCTTTTCTCTCTCCTGTCCAATCAATGGAAATATCCATTCTTATTTTTGTCAGGTCTCTCTGAGCGTACAATCCCAGCTGGACCACAAGCTGACCTGGAGTACAATTCACAAACAGAAGCGTCCTTCGGGCTTTACTTATTCAAATAACTCAGAAAAAAATCCCCCTGACCCCAGAAAGGGTTACTCACGTGCTAAAGCCTATAAAATCCGACTCCTTGACATAGTTACATATTTCAGAGGTGTGGGACTCCTCTTGAATCCTTGCATATATGTCAAGAAGCGGAACAAAAAAATCAGTTTTCTGGTTCTGGTGCAGTAGTGCAGTAAACACAATGCTTATTTGCAGCTCTTTTTATTTTGCTTTTGCTTTGGTCGGCTCCCAAATAATCCTTTTTATTATGTTTTATCCTTTATATCTATCCTCCTCATTCTCAGTTCTGTTACTTTTTGTGGCTCTTTGGAGCTTTGATTAACCACACTGGCTTTGTGCTGCAGAATCGCACTCAATGAATGGCAAGGGGAATGATTTATTTTCTGAGTCACCGCTCAAAAGACAAACTTCCATCAATCAAAAACCAGACAAGAGAGTGTGACACCACAAAGCGATATGCTAGGAGGCGCTTACAGCAAAAGGGACAGGTGGTCTTTGATAGCTGACTTACATTGCAGGTCACTAATCACAGAGATTAGCAGCAAGGTGATAGAAAGCGCCTGTTCTGGAAGGCAGCATGTCCTATCATCCAATTTTCTGTCAAAATGTGAGGGTTTAAATGGTAGAGATAGCTTTATGTGTTTCCTATATAGTTATGGCAACCAGGTGATGAGAAAGCTGGAAGAGTAAAATATCTCATCTCCATGAAAATGTGAGCACGAGTCCCGGTGGGTTGATTCAGCCCACCTTTGTGCTGGGGGAAGCAAAGCAACTTCCCATAGTCATTGGGTTTCCTCTGCAAAACTGCTTGTGCAAAAAATGGCATCTTCTTACTCAGCCAGGGCCTGCTTTTTATCTTCTTAAAGTAGATCTCGTTCCACTGCTTAGGGCAATTTTTTTCCCTATTTTTTTATTGCTGCTGCCCTTTGTAGAATGAGCACAGCCACAGAATACTGAATAGCAAGCTGGATTTTATTTTCAGTCCTTTGGGCTCCACAAATCGAATCATTAACTAAGACCTAATGC